AGAGAGAGAGAGAGAGAGAGAGAGAGAGAGAGAGAGAGTGTGTGTCATCTTTCACAGGAAGAACAAACTACCCCCAATACAGAAAAATTAACTTGATATATTTTTATTTTAATATTTCTTATATTTGAATCAACAAAAAATAGGAATATATTCTTTATGCTTATAGTTCTCATACAACAAAAGCTAAACATTTACAAATTAAATTTTTAACAAAAATATAAAACAAAAATGCAAATTAGTCATCTTAATTTATTTAATATAAGAAATAATGCTGTTTTGCTCAGATAGAAAAATGTTTTGTTCAAAAGAAATAAATCAAATATTTGGTTTAACAGTAAAAAGCTGTAGTTTCAGATTCCATTCTGTTCTTAAACAATGTTTTTACTTTAATGACAATGCTTGTTCACACAGGTATCTTATTCAAAATGGCATTAATAATTTCAAGTCTTTCCTTTCTTTTTCATAGTAACCAGGAATATTAAACTCCTTGTAAACATGACAATTCTTAAATATCAATTTTAAAAACATGAGAATTGACAGACTGACAATTGAAAACTATACTTAGTAAAATCTGCGATAATAACTACTGAATCCAATTAGTTGTAGATATGAATAGGAACATTCTTGACTATTTGCTATTATACTTATTGCTAATGAACTGTTGTAAGTTACTCTGTATAGGAGACTCACAACTTAAGGGTACTAACTTATGGTACAGCTCTTTTCTGAGTAATGCTAAGACACTGTCATGTCAAAATCCAAATCAGGTATGTTACGTATACAATAGCTGTACACCATCATTCTTCTCATCTTCATAGAATCTATGTTTTCCAGCTTCATTAGTTTTATTTTTTTTCAAATCAGATTTTAATTTTGAATACTTAACATTATTATTGATGTGCATTTCACTTTCTTCATGTTTACTAAGAATATGTGATAAATGCTGCCAATCTTTGCATCCATTCTCATTTTTCAATTGATTTTTTCCTTCTCCAAAGAGTTTGCAATACAGGCAAAACACAGAATCTTTTGAGGTTGAATAAAGTAGCCAGGATCTAGTTGCTTTTTCACCACTTGGAAGAATTCGTGTATAATAAGTTTCTGAAAACTTTCTCCCTGTATTGTCTTTTGGAAAGTTAAAATTTCTTACTTGAGGTGGATCATTTTCAACAAGAGTATCCCGTTGTTTAATATTCAGAATTCGGGGCCATGTACCTGGATCTGCAGAAAGCACAACTGATATAATGGAATCTTCTGAAGTTTTGTTTTCCAGTTGCTCTTGAAATTTATCAGCTACGGCTGACATGGAAGAAAGTAAATTCACATTCTGTTTGTTCAGTAATGTATCTGGGGTACATTCTGCTGAAACCTGTAGTTCCAAACTCTTTTCCTTTTTTTCTGGTATTCCTTCTATTTTTTCCAAAAGTGTATTTGATGATCCATATAATTTTCTTTCATTTTCTTCTCTGATGGCATTCCTTTTTCTGTTTTCTAATGCTGATGCTTTTGATTTTGCTTCTGTCATCTGAGAATAAATAAGAGATTACAACTTCATTTTAAAAACTTTTTTTAAAACTATTTTTTAGTTGTTGATGTGCCTTTATTTTACTTATCTGTATGTGGTATTGAGAATCAAACTCAGTGCCTCACGCATGCTAGGCAAGCACACTACCACTGAGCCACAACGCCAGCCCCCCCATTTTAAATTCTTTTTTTTTTTTCTTTTTTTAGTTGTAGCTGGACACAATATCTTTATTTATTTTTATGTGGTGCTGAGGATCAAACCCAGTGTCTAACACATGCAAGGCGGGCACTCTACACTGAGCTACAGCCTCAGCCCTTAAATTCTTATTTTTTTAAAATATTTATTTTTTAGTTTTCGGCGGACACAACATCTTTGTTTGTATGTGGTGCTGAGGATCGAACCCGGGCCGCACGCATGCCAGGCGAGCCCGCTACCGCTTGAGCCACATCCCCAGCCCCTTGCCCTTAAATTCTTAACATTTCAAAAATTAATGTATATAGGAATGCCCAATAAGCACATGAAATGATACTCATCATTAGCAATCAAAGAAATGCAAATCAAAACAATAAAGCATACCACTTCCCATTTATAAGGATGACTACAATAAACAGACAATTATAAATGTTGATAAGGATGTAGAGAACTAGATAGGGGAGGTGATCCATACTTATAATCCCAGATACTATGGAGGCTGAGACAGGAGGATCACAAGTTGGAGGCCAGCCTGGGAAATTTAGCAAGACCTTAACTTAAAAAAAAAAAAAAAAAAAAAAAAAGGCTGGGGATATAGCTCAGTAGCAGAGCACTTGTATAACCTGTGGAAGGCCTGGTACTCAATCCTCAGTACTGGGGAAAATATCCAACTAGAACCTCCCTAAGGTGCTGGTGGGAATATAAAATGATGTATCTGCTGTTGCAGTTTGTCAGGCATGGTGGTGCAAGCCTGTAATCCCAGCGGCTGGGGAAGCTGAGGCAGGAGGATGCCAAGTTCAAAGCCAGCCTTAGCAACTTAGCAAGGCCCTCCGCAACTGGTTATGTGCCCCTGGGTTCAATCCCTGGTACCAAACATACAAAAAAAGTATGCCAGTTTCTCTGATGTTTAAACAGTCATTACATGACCAAGTAATTCTATTCCAAGCTATTCCACCCAAGGTAAATACAAAAACATAAGCCCACACAAAAACACATAAATGTTCACAGCAATTGTATTCCTAAGAGAAAAAAATTGAAATAATTCTAATGTCTGTCACAAATAATGGGTAGGAAAATACAGTGTTAGCCATTCAATGGACAGTATGGCAATAAAAACAAATGAAGTACTAATAGGTATTACAACACAGACGAACCCTGAAAACAGTAGCATACATGAAAGAAGTCTGTTAGAAAATACCTCATTTTAAGTCCACTGATGTCAAATTTCAAGAACAGGCAAATTTATAGACAGAAGGTAAATTTTAGTTGTCTAGGATTTGTGTGTTGGGGGGGAGAGAATGGCAATTGATTTTTGTGTAGGAGGTTACTGGGGACTGAATTCAGGGGCACTCAACCACTGATCCACATTCCCAGCCCTATTTTGCTTTTTATTTTAGAGACAGGGTCTCACTGAGTTGCTTAGTTCCTCACCAAGGCTGAGTCTGGCTTGAACTTGCAATCCTCCGTCTCAGGCCTCCCTTACTGCTGGGATTACAGGCATGTGCCACCACGCCCAGCTTGCAATTGACTTTTAAGAGATGGGGTTTAGTGGTAAGAATGTTTTAAAATTATCTATGGTGGGGGCTGGGGTTGTGGCTCAGTGGTAGAGGGCTCTCCTAGCGTGTGCAGGGCCCTGGGTTCAATCCTCAGCACCACATAAAAAATAAATAAATAAAAACAAAGATATTGTGTACAACTAAAAAAAATAATTAAAAAATATTAAATAAAATAAAATTATCTCTGGCAAATTGTAGGGTATGTTAATTATATCCCAATAAAATTTGTATAAAATTCATGTAAAGGTCAATAAAATTAAAATTCATTAATTCATTGTGGTACTGGGGATTGATCCTAGGGTGCGCTACCTATATCCCCAACAATTTTCATATATATATATATATATATATATATATTTTTTTTTTTTTTTTTCATATATAGCTATATCCCCAACAATTTTCATTTTCAGTTTGAGACAGTGTTACTAAGTGGCCCGGTCTGGCCTCAATCTTAGGATTCTCCTGCCTCAGCCACCTGAGTTGCTGAGATTACAGGTGTGTGCCACCACATCCCACAAAACAGCAATTACTTGGAGCAGTGAAACTGCCAAAAAGAATTCCTTCAAGGGGCTGGGGATGTGGCTCCAGCGGTAGCACGCTTGCCTGGCATGCATGTGGCCCGGGTTCGATCCTCAGCACCACATACCAACAAAGATGTTGTGTCCACTGAGAACTGAAAAATATTAAAAAAATTCTCTCTCTCTCTCTTAAAAAAAAAAGAATTCCTTCAATACCATACATGCACACATGTATGACATGAGAGAACTCTCAATTTTAGAAATACTTTTATTTTGAAACACGGTCTCCCTATGTTGTCCAGGCTAGTCTGGAACTTCTTAGACTCTTAAAAGCACATATATTACTATTTTTTCTTTAAAAATTTTTAATTTTAATTTGTTATTTAACAGAATGCATTACAATTCATATTATACATATAGAGCACAACTTTTTATGTCTCTGGTTGTACACAAAGTAGAGTCACATTCTTCATGTCTTCATACATGTACTTAGGGTACTGATGACCATCGTATTCCACCGTCTTTCCTACCCCTATGTCTCCTCCCTAGCCCTCCCTCCCCTTTTCCCCTCTGCCCTATCTAGAGTTATTTAATCTTCCCACCCACCCACCCCCGTAGCATATTATGAATTAGCATCCATAAATCAGAGAAATCATTCAGCATTTTTTTTAGATTTTTCATTATAGATGGACACAATACCTTTATTTTATTTATTTATTTTTTAATGTGGTACTGAGAATCAAACCCAGTGCCTCACACGTGCTAGGCAAGTGCTCTACCACTGAGCCACAACCCAAGCCCACATACTTTTTTTAAAATATATTTTTAGTTGTGGACAAAAATGAATAAAGATACTATGTGTTTATGTGGTGCTGGGGACAGAACCCAGTGCCTCACACATGCGAGGCAGGTGCTCCACCACTGAGCCCCAGCCCCCCAGATTATTTTTTCATATATATATATATATATATGTATATATATATATATATATATATATACACACACACACACACACACACACACACACACACACTCACTCTTTAATAATTTTTTTTTTAGTTGTAGTTGGACATAATACCTTTATTTTATTAATTTATATGTGGTGCTGAGGATCGAACCCAAGGCCTCACACATGTTAGGCAAGCACTTTACCGCTGAGCCACAACCCCAGCCCCTTGATGTTATATTAAACACTATAAATTCAAAGCAGAATGTTATACATTGATACTTTTTCACCAAAATGTCAAGTCTATCAGACAAATTTAATTTTGATTTTTATTTTATTGCCATCAACTGACATCTATAATAAAAACACACTATTTTTTTTTTTAATATTTATTTTTTAGTTTTCGGCGGACACAACATCTTTGTTTGTATGTGGTGCTGAGGATCGAACCCAGGCCGCACGCATGCCAGGTGAGCGCGCTACCGCTTGAGCCACATCCCCAGCCCCAAAAAACACACTATTTTGGTGTCAATTAAATAATAATAGAAATATAATAAAATGCAAAAATGGTTCAAAATAACAAAGATGTATGAGATGTGAATGGTATCCTCTTAGCTATATATAACACAAACTGAACACCATTTAATTCTGAAAGCAACATGGCAGCACAGAAGTAAAAAGAAAAAGGCAGATAAATGATAGATTTGTACTTCAGAAAGACTACTCTGATTTTGTTATGAATTTCCAACAGTAAGTATGTAAGAATAGAAGTACAGGTCAGTCAAGAAGCCATGGTGATAAGTCTGGCGAGAAATGATGGTAACTATGTCAGGATTATAGCATTAGAAATAGGATTGAGTGAAACATGTTTAGGAATAGAATCTGAATTAGTAAGTGATTAAATGGCCATGGGGATCAAGGAAGAAGGAAAAGTAAAGAATGAACATCTGATTGGATCATGGGGTCAGTTAGTGATATGGGAAAGAAGGAAATCAGGTTTAAGATAGTCTAAGATATATGTAGAATATTCAGAGAAAGAGTATAAAAGGATACATTTGCCTAAACTCAAGAGAGAAAAACAAACTGGAAATATGTATTTGGAAATCATCAAAATATGTTAAACAAAACCATGGGACTGGAAGGGCTACTGAATGAGACAAAAGCCCAAGTTTGGGTCTTTTCTCTTTCCTTCCTGCATTTCTTGGTAAAGAATTGAGATTTTACAGTTCTCAATGGACAGGGTTATGGCTCAGTGGTAGAGTGCCTGCCTGGCATGAGTGAGGCACTGGGTTTGATCCTCAGCACCACAAATAAACAAACAAACAAATAAATAAAGCTATTATGTTCATCTACAACTAAAAAAAAAAAAAAATTACTTAAAAGAGGAAAAATTTATTTTGGTTCATAGTTTCAAAGATCTTACTTAGTCCATCGTTGGCTTACTCCACTGTTCTGGGTGAAGCAGAATACCATGGCAGGTATTCCAATACCAGGGTGTTGAGCTGTTCAGCTCAAGGCAGCTGGGAAGCAGAGGGGTGGGGTGTATGTGTGGAGTGGCAGGGGCCAGGGTCAGATAAAGTGTCCAGGGCCATGCCCCCAGTGAACCTACTTCCTCCAGCCATGCCCTACCTACCTACAATTACCACCATTCAAATTATTAATCTATCAAATGGATTATTCCACTGATGATGTTTCAATCAATGTCTAAAATCCCTGCTTCTGAACCTTGCTGCACTAGGGACCACATTTTCAACATAGGAGCTTTTGAGGGGATATTCCAAACCCAAACAATAACAAGAGACCAACTGGGCAACAGTGAGACCCCCCAACTCAAAAAACAAAAATCTATTAGGTTTGCTACTCATGAGATTACTAAACTGAAAATTTATGACCTTTGGGGATAAGATGTGTATAATTATATATTCCTATTGAAAGCAATAGTACACATTAAAAGCAAGTGCTAAGGAACTCAGTGAGACCCTGTCTCTAAATAAAATACAAAACAGGGCTGGGGATGTGGCTCAGTGGTCAAGTGCCCTTGAATTCAATCTCTGGTACCAAAAATCAATCAATCAATCAACCAACTAACCAACCAACCAACCAACTAGTTAAACCAAGTTAACTAAAACAAATAACAGTCCTCTATCCCTCTACTCATTTCCCCTTTCTGCAAAGTTAGGGTTAACCAAAAATACAGCTTTTAAACTGTGGGTTTTTTTTTTTTTCTTTTGGTGTATGTGTGTGTGTGTGTGTGTGTGTTGCTGGGGATCAAACCTAGGACCATACTCACGCTAGGCAAGCGCTCTATTCCTAAATTACAGCCACGGTCCCTTACTATTTCCACATCTTTTAGTAACTTATTTGTATCTCTAATTACTGATTTTTCCTCCCAGCTTAGAAAGACCAAAATTTAGTTTTCCTTCCTCTCACCAGACTCACCATATACAGTACCCACCTACCCACATATCCTTTGGTTACAAGTTTTTGGGGGCAGTATCCTTTATTTTAAGGGACTATTTCACATTCACTACAGAATGTTTGTTTAGCATCAGCCATGGCTTCTATCCGCTAGATGCTAGCAGCATCCCTCAAGATATGACTGTAAAAAAAAATGTCCCAACATTGCCAAATGCCCTCAAGGGGGTCAAAATCAACCCCTGATTGAGAACCAGTGGCTTAGATGTGGAGATTCAGTCTTTACATTTTATGACTATGTATGTGATTCAACAAAAAGTCACTATTTCTGAGGCTAGCTTTGAATTTGTAATCCTCCTGCCTTAGCCTCTGGAGCCACTGGGATTACAGGCATGCACCACTGTGCCCAGCAAGATTTCAGTTTTAAGATCTTCATATCACAGTGCACAAAGATGTTTTCAGATGTCTTTGTCAAGTTGTAGTTAACAGATACAACAAAAAATATTACTACTTAGTTCTTTTTTCCTTTGTTGGGCTTTGTAGAAGGACTACTATTAATTACTTCAAAATATTTACCTACTGTGTGGGAGAAAAGCATGTTTTTGAAACTTCTGTAGTATAGCAGAATATGATGCCTGTTTGCAAAGTGACTGTGAATTACTTTGCATTACTCAAAAATGAAATATTGTATTTCAGACTTTCTTCTAGGGGATTAGAATGGTAGGTAATGAAGTTACTCAAGAAAGTCTGAGACAGGTACAATGGCCCACACCTGTAATTCTAGCACCTCAGAAGACTAAGGCAGAAGGATCTCAAATTTGAAGGCAGTCTGGTTAACTCAGTGAGATTTGTCACAAAATAAAATGAAAAGGTTTGGAAATGTAAACAGCATTTGCTTAGCACATGTGTGAAGCCCTGAGTTCAATCTCCAGTACAGAAAAAGAAAAAAATTAAAAATGTGGATATAAGGCTGCTGTCTATTTGAACTATGTATCTGCCAATTTTTACACCTTCTGATATTACTTTTTTAATATTTATTTTTTAGCTTCAGATGAACATAATACACGATACCTTTATTTTTCATTTATGTGGTGCTGAGGATTGAACCCAGTGCCTCATACATGCTAGGTGAGCACTCTACCACTGAGCCACAACCCTAGCCCCTAATATTACTTTTTTAAAAAATATTTTTTAGTTTTAGTTGGACACAATACCTTTACTTTTTACTTACTTATTTTTATGTGGTGCTGAGGATCGAACCCAGCACCTTGCACGTGCTAGGTGAGTACTCTACCACTGAGCCACAACCCTAGCCCCAGATATTACTTTTGTCATGCACTATTTTTTTAAAGTATTTTTTAGTTTTTTTAGGTGGACACAATGTCTTTATTTTATTTTTATGTGGTGCTGAGGATCGAACCCAATGCCTCACACACGCCAGGCAAGCATACTACCACTTGAGCCACATCCCCAACTCCTTCATGCACTATTTTTAAAAGATAACATTTAAAAATTTTTTCATCTATTATCAAATTGTTCACTATGCTCTTCTATAGGCCACCTCCATAAGCATTGATGAATATTAGGAACAGTATACATAAAGATAGCATAAGTCTTCCCTGAAAAACAAATTAAGCAATTGTGTACCATGAATCAAAATGCATTCTGCTGTCATGTATACCTAATTAGAATAAGTAAATAAATAATAAAAGAAAGAGTTGCTATTAACCATCCTCTTATTTTATTTTAATAATAAAATACATTTATCCTGGGGGGAAGAAAAACTTAAAAGTGAACTATCGGTATTTATTGTTTGTTCTATTTAATAAACCTAGCACTTGAGGGTTAATTCCTCCTAAAGCTAACTATGTAAATCCTATCAGTGAAATGGGATTAAAAATATTAGTTATGTTTGATTCACTTCAACTTAATTTTTGTATATGGAATAAAATGGAATCGAATTTATTTCCATGCCTCACACATGTGAGATCCTGGGTTCGATCCTCAGCACCACATAAAAATAAATAAGTGAAATAAAGGTATTGTGTCCACCTACAACTAAAAACAAATTTATTTCCATACAAGTGAAAATAATCCTTCAGCATTTTTTTTTGGTACTGGGGATTGAACCTAGAGGTTCAAGATATTAAAAAGCTTCAGTAATCAAGGCATTATAGTATAGTATTGGCATATAAACAAACAGATCGGTGAGCCACATCCACAGGCCCCCAACTTTTTTTTTTTTTTTGCAGTGGGGGAGGGTACAGGGGCTTTAACACAGGGGCACTGGATCCCAGCCCTATTTTGTATTTTATTTAGGAACAGGGTTCTCACTAAGTGGCTTATAACCGTGCATTTTGCTGAGACTAGCTTTGAACTCATGATTCTCCTGCCTTAGCCTCCTGAGCCACTGGGATTAGAGGTGTTGGCATGGCATGGCACCCAGCCAGCACCATTTGTTTAAAAAAAAAAAAAAATCCTTGCTTTTCTCATCAAGATAATTTGGTACCTTCTAAAATCAACTGACTGGTGCTGGGGATAAAGCTTAGTGTAAAGCACTTGCCTAAGCATGCACAAGGCCTGGGTTCAATCTCTAATATTGCAAAAATTAAAAAATCAACTGACTATATATGTGGTTCTATTTCTAGACTGTCTTCTATTCCATTGATCTGTTTATATGTTAATACCATACCATAATGCCTTGATCACTGAAACCTTTTAATATCTTTAAATCATGTAATTTATTAATTCCTTAACCCATACCTCACACCATATACAAAATTAATTTAAGATATATCACAGACTTAAAAATGAAAACTTACAACTAAAAAGCTAGGGCTGGAATGGTAGAGAATCTGCCTTGGGTTCAATCTCCAGCACTACAAAAAAGAAAGCAGCCAGAAGAAAATGTAGGAAAATATCTTTGTAATATTGGTAGGCAAAGATGCCTTTAATGGGATACAAACATTAATCAGAAAAGCAAGTAGTAAATTGAACTTTATAAAAAGTAAAACCTTGTGCTTTTCAAAAGCAACATTAAGAAATGAAAGACAAGTCAGACTGAAAGAAGATCTTCTGAATACATTTATTTAACAAATAACATGTATCCAGAATATTTAAAGAATTCCAACAACTTAGCAATTAAAAGGCAACCCAATTTGATCTGGACATGGTAGTACGTACATATAGTCCCAGCTACTGGGAAAGCTGAGGCAGGACGAGTTCCAGGACAGCCCGGACAACATAAAAAGCTATGGTCTCAAAAAAAAAAAAAAAAAAAAAGAGAGAGAGACAGACAACTCAAAAATTGTCTGAAGATTTTAAGAGACCGCTACATGTCTGTAATCCCAGTTACTCTGGAGGCTGAGGCAACTTTAAGACCAGCGTGAACAATTAAGCAGGATTGTCTCCAAATAAAAATATAAAACTGTGCGTGGTGGTACATGCCTGCAATCCCAGAAACTCAGGAGGCTGAGGCAGAATGCTCACAAACTGGAGGCTAGCCTCAGCAACTTAGAGAAACTCTGTCTCAAAATAAAAAAAAATTAAAAAGGGCTGGGGATTTCAGTGGTAAGGCATCCCTTGGGTTCAATCTCCAGTACCAAAAAAATTAAATAAATGAGGGTGATAATCAAAAAAATAAAGACTGGGGATGTGGCTCAGTGGTAGCGCCCCTGGATCAGTTTGTAGTGCGCGCGTGCACACACACACACACACATACCACACAAGAGTTGGATAAAATTATCTTTTGATGAAAAGGGAGTATTGGGTTCTTAGGGAAATGTAAACTAAAACCACAATTAAATCATCATTTTGCCACTAAAGTGGCTTAAATCAAAACAGACAACGCCAAATTTTGATTAAACTGTAGAGTTACTGGATTAAACTGTTAGTGGGAGTACAAAGTGAAGAGAAGAACAATTACTTTTGAAGAAAAAAACATTTAAAACAAGCTTACCTACAATAATGGATAGATTTTAATATTGTAAGACTGAGAATGCAGCTCAGTGTAGAGCACTTGCCTAGCATTTGTGAGTTCAAAACCCAGCATCATGCAATAAATAAATAAAAGATTTCAATACATAGCTGAAATGGTCAGCTCAATAACAGAATGACAAAATGGAACTAGAGGAGATCCTAAGATAAATTTGATTAATATAAGCTAATAGGGTTAAGCCATTACATACTTAATCATTAAAAAGAATTACCTCTTTATATTCATTAACACAACTTTGGGAACAAAATCGCTTCTGTTGATCTCCAATCAGGATATTGTTTCCAGCATTTTTATTGGGCATATACTCTCCACACTGTTCACAGCAGTTCATTATTAGACCATTGGCCAATCTGTACTTATTAAAGCAATGGTTGCTGCATAGCTTGTGTGTTACATTATTAACACTGACTTCATGGCGAATCTAAAAGAAAAAACAAAATTAACTAAAATATATGAACCAGGTTAGTAAAAAAAAAAAAAAAAAAAAGAAAGGCAGTGAAACTAGTTTCTGTAAAAGAAACAAAGAACCTCTAGTAATATCTCAGGGAAAGAAACATTCAGAAAAAAAGATTAAAAAGCATTTCACTGTTCTTTCACTTTTTCTGTTTGTAAAATCAATATTCATAGAGAAAAAGCGATTCCCGAAGGCATTTAAGAATGACAAAACTGGGGCTGGGGTTGTGACTCAGCGGAGAGTGCTCTCACCCAGCATGTGCGAGGCGCTGGGTTCAATCCTCAGCACCATATAAAAATAAAGGCATTGTGTCCAACTACAATAAAAAAAAAAAAAAAAAAGACAAAATTGGATTAGGATTTTTTTTTTTTTTTTTTTTTTTGGTGGTGGTGGTGGGGTTACCAGGGATTGAACCCAGGGGTGCTTAATCACTGAGCCACATCCCAGCTTTTTTTGTGTGTGTGTGTGGTGTTAGGGATTGAACCCAGGGCCTGTGCACATGAGGTAAGCACTCTACCAACAAGCTATATCCCCAGCCCTCCATTTTTTTTTTTTTTTTGGAGACAGTATCTCACTAAGTTGCTGAGACTGGCTTTGAACTTGATCCTCCCTGCCTTAGTCTCCTGAGTTGCTGGGATTACAGGCATTCTTAATGTTATTAAGTTCACTTCTCTAGAACATTCATAGGAGGGGATATGGGAATAAACATTATCCATGGTCAGGATGGTGTGCCAGTGTATCTATAAGTAAGATAGTTCTCAATGTGGTAATAAATAAAATCATACCCTGATTTGCTCAGCTATTAGATCACCTGAACCAAATATAGTTAACAAAAACAGTATAAAATGAGGACTTCCCGAATGCATGTTTCTTCCTTTTCAGCAACTTGAAAGATGCTGAATCACTTAATTAGTGTTAAAGGAACAGAATGCATTCTGTTTCACATGTTCTTGTATTAGGATCTATTGCTTCCCTCATGCTCTGAAACTACACTTTTCTTTAATGTTATTACTATGAACAGAAATCTACCACAAATTGTTAAATTATTACAATGAGTTCCATAAAAACAAATGTGTACTTTCCATACTACACATTAGTTAATAAGATAGTTCTAGTATATCCTTATTCCATCTTTTAACTTCGTGATATATATACAGGATATCTACATTAGACAGCAGAGCTTACAAGAGCACTTAAAAGTTACAATTATCCCTGTTAACCTAAATTAACAATTTAGGTATAAAATCCAGACCTCTGTTAATTTACTACAGATTGTACATCTTGACTTATTAAAAAATCCTTTTCTAAGATTCTGGTTGTCTTCATAGGGAGACAAAGATGTACAACAAAATTCTTGGAAGGATTTGCTTGATTCTACTGGAGTAACAATAGTAGCCTTCTTTGTAGGTGCATCTCTGAAACACAAAGGATAGACAATTTAAGACCTTTATTATTTTTTTTGTACTGTGGATCAAACCCAGGCCTCACACATGCTAAGCAAGCACTCTACCACTAAGCTACAGCCCAGCCCCAAGAACACTGTATTTTAACAAAAAGTAAAATATATGATTAACTTTTGGATATAGTAAAATCTAATCTTGGCTTCATTACCATGAGTTCCTAAATAACACAGAAAGAGAAGGTTCAAAGGTAAAAACACCTTTTGTAGCATAAGAACTTCACCAGTTGTTCAGCTTTGTGGAAACATTCAAACATGCTGGTAATACCTTGGCAGAAATAAGGTGTAAGGGAAAGAGAATATACTTCCATACCTATATTTCACTTTCTTGTTAAGCAGAAGCATAATATAAGAATTCACAGCTCTAACATATTCCAGGTTCATAAACTTTTTCAGCCTTCCAATTGCATGCAGAACATTTATTTTTATTGCTCATATTCAACCATATGGAGAAATGATACTGCTTACTTTTTACATGTAACATTTCGTGTCTTTCGAGCACGTTTATGAGAGAAGGAAGAAAGGCAGGTGGTAGAACAGAAGAGGTGAGCAGATCCTTTTCGTTGATAAGCTGTCTGTCCCTTCTGTAAAGGTTTTTTGCAGTTTGCACAAGTGATTTTAGCTGGTTTAGTAAGTTTTTGTTGGGCTGGAGGCTGGAAATTCTGATTAGGAAGTAAGGCCACTGGATATAAAGAATCCACCCCTGGCTGTTTCTGGTTACGGGGAAATGATGCTGACTGGGAGATCCAAGAATCTTAAAAATGAAAAACACAAGAAAAAGTTATGGAATAAATAAAATTCACATCAGACAAATATTTGAAATTTTCATTTAAGAATTTAAGAGGCAGCATACAAGCATGTGTTGAGGGTTGACAGCCTCAATGAACAATCTAGGATAACTATTCACTTCATATTCCAAGGGAATGATATTTAATTGTGCCAACAATTAATCATGAATACTAGAATTGTGTAATGCTATAGCCATCAGTTATAAATCAGACTTCCCAGGTTCAAACTAAGTTGTGGGCTGGGCACATAGCTCAGTATTAGAGCACTTGCCCAACATATTTGAGGCCTGAGATTCCACTCCAGTATGGCAAAACACAAAAATAAAAGTGTATCTCCTTAATTTACAAGATTATGCAAATACATTAAGCTCATGTTTGTTCTTTTTAGCAATGGAGATTAAACCTAAGGGCAATAGATCACTGAGCCACATCCTCAGGTCTGTTTTTTTTTTTTTTTTTTTGAGACAGGGTCTAGCTAAATTGCCAAGGAACAACTTGAACTTGTAATCCTCCTGCCTCAATCCTGAGTTTATGGGAGTACAAGAGCATAATATCAGGCATGGCTGGCCTTTTTTTTTTTTCAAAGTGGTGCTGGGGATTGAATCCAGGATCTTATGCACTCTGGGTGAACACTCTACCACTGAGCTATAACCTCAGCCCCCCATATTGTGGTTTCTCTGATATAAACTGCAATTACACTTAATTCATTGAACTATTATAAGGAATAAATGAGATAATGCATATAATAGTAAAGTGTTGTGTGGCACACTCAAAAAATGCCATTTTTATATACATTTATAGAAAATGGCAAAGGATATGCAAATGCAGAGATAGCTATAGTGAAGCATGACTGACTACCCAGAAACCCTTAAGAAATATGATAAGGCTATAAGTTTATCCATTTTCCTAGCCAACATTATGAAAAATTTAAAGCATACAGAAAAGTTGAAAACTTTTATAACTAACACCCATATACTCACCAAGTGGATTCAACACTACTTTATTGTTTTTGCTTTATCATTTTTCCACCTATTCATTGCTCTAAAAATTAAGCCATCATTTTTGCATATTTCAAGAAAACTGAAGACATTGGTCTACTTTCCTTCAAAACACTTTAGATATAATACTTTAATGCAAATCTTTCTAAAATTATTTCCTAGCTTTCATAGGCATTAATATAGGTTGTAGGTTACTCAGGAAAGATAGCTTTCCTAATCTTACATATATTGTATGTCACTGTTATTATTATTAATAATATATTACTATTAGCTTCAAAATGGTATAGGATTACATAGAGGTGAAATGCTTCAATATGTATATGAAGTCACTTAACAATCTTTTATTTTTTTCTCTTGTGGTGTTGGGGATCAAATCCAAGGCCTGAGCATGCTAGGCAAATACTCTATCACTGAACTACATCCCCAGCCTAGGAATCTTGTTTAACAGAGATTATAATTTGGTAGATATGAAAAGGGACCAGAGATTCTGCATTTCTAATGAAAATTAGATGAAGCTTCAAAAAACAGGACCCTATGGTATAAAATTATTTTTTCATATCTATCTGTTTATATCCATCCATTCATCCATCTTCCTAGGGGTGCTTTACCAGTAAACTACATCCTCAGTTCTTTTTGTGAAATTTTTATTTTGAGACAGTCTTACTGAACTTGCAATTCTTCTGCCTCACTGCTCACCAGCCTTTTGTGCAGGTTACAGTGGTGCACGCCTGTAATTCCAGTGGCTCAGGAGGCTGAGGCAGGAGGATTATGAATTCAAAGACAACCTTAGCAATTTAGCAAGGCCCCAAGCAACTTAGTGAGACCCTGTCTCAAAACAAAAAATGTAAAAACAGCAGGGGATGTGGCTCAGTGGTTAAGCACTTGGGTTGAATTCCTGGTACCAAAAAGAAGCTTTTTGTTATTACAAAGAGGGGGCCATCGGTTCCCTCCAACTGTTCCAAGGGCCTCTTAACAACATTACTAGCACTAACAACCATACCTATATTCTTTCCTCAATTGCTACCTACTGTTTCTTATTTTGTCTTATTTTCATTTACAGATAAAACTAAACCAGAACAAGCAAGAAAAGAAAATGTGGTAATAATTCACAATGGAATTATTACTCAGCATTAAAGAATGAAATGATGGCATTTTCCGGTAAATGGATGGAACTGGAGACTATCATGCTAACTGAAATAAGCCATTCCCAAAAAACCAAAGGCCAAATGTTTTCTCTGATTTGTGGATGCTAATCCAAAACAAGGGAGGCTGGGGAAGGGAATAACAGAAATCCATTGGATTAGACAAAAGGAAATGAAGGAAAGGGAGAGGAGAAGGAAATAGGAAAGATAGTAGAATTAATCAGTCATAACTTTCCTGGCCTTGTATTTGAATACACAACCAGGGTAACTCCACATCATGTACAACCACAAGAGTGGGATCCTAAATAGAATAAGTTATACTCTATGTATGTATAATCTGCCAAAATACATTCTACTGTCATGTATAACTAAACAGAACAAATAAAAAAATTGCAAGTTTGATTTACAAAATAATTTTTTATGAAAGGTATTCTGATGCTAATGTATCGGGGTTACCAGCACCCCAAGAGAGCAGATTCCTGCTTGGAGGTGTGAAAATAATAAACAAAGAACAAAAGAGGCAGAAAATAGTTTTCAAAGTAGAGGCCTGGCAAGTTTCCTAGCCCTGGCAGGGATTACAGCTGAACAAGGAAAAAGGCCCCAAATCTTTATTTAAGGGGAAATACATCAAAAGGTTTTAGTATGGCAGGCTTCTTGAGGAAAAAGATGAGGAAAACAGGATAAGTATGAGAAAAACAAGTTGTTTGGGGCTAGGGAGGTTCCGCCCACCTTCCAAGGCTGCTTTTTAACCTAGGGCTTTGAACTAAGGTAAGGTGTCAGCTTTGATTTGAGCAATCTGCAACTGGTGGATTCACACCAGGAGTTCTCAGAAAAGCACAAGACAACCACTCCCCATACCCCCTACCTCGCCTCATGATTGCTCAAACAAACCCATAATTCATACACAGCCTCTAACAATAATGTTTTATTATAGGACCTGTTACTTGTTTAATCATATAATATTGATGTTTAAGAGATTTCATGTTTTAAAATGTTTCATTGTTTTAAAAACCCTAAGATATTTCACTAAAATCTAAGAATCTTAAGTGCAGAAGCTAATTATTTTTTATAGCATTGTATAAACTTGCACAACTATTATCTAGATAAATATACAGAATATTTCTAATATTCCAAAAGCTTTTCTTTTAGCTCTTGACTATCAGTTACTCCCTTCACATTTAATAGGTCAAAGATTAACTTCTCTCTTTTTGTGTGTGTGTGGTGCTGAACACTGAACCCTGGGCTTCACACATACTACTAGACAAATGCTCTACCATTAAGCTATATCTCCAGACCTTAAACCCTCCCCCCCAAGGGCCTAAGTTACCCAGACTGGCCTGGAACTTGCACTTCTCCTGCCTCAGGCTCCTAAGTACCCAGGATTACATGCCCACAACACCAAAGATTAGTTTTGTCTTATTTTAAATTTCACATACACAAAATCACATAGTTTGTACTTTTATGTTTAGTTTCCTTAGCTCTATATTTTATCAGTTAAGGCTCACCCCCACTGCATGCAGCAAGATATTCTTTCCCTTTTCTTTTTGCAACACAGAGATCAAACACAAAGCTTCATGAGTGCTAGGCAAATGCTTTTGCACTGAGTTACATCTTTATCCCCAAGATCATTCTTCTAATTACTGTTGACTATTCCTTGCATGACCAATATTACTGTATTATTATTCATTCTTGCTATTGATGAACATTTGAATTTTTTCCCCATTTCTTACTATGATATTTGTATTTTTTTTCCAACTTACTCATTTATTAATTTTAGGTACTCAGGATTGAACCCAGGGGCCCTTTAACATGGAGCTACATTACCAGTCCTTGTTATTAGTTATTTTGAGACAGGATCTCACTAAGTTGTTGAGGCTGGCCTCAAACTTGGGGCTGGGGCTATAGCCTGGTGGTAGAGCATTTGCTTTGCATGTGAGAAGCACTGGTCCTTAGCAATACATATAAATAAATGAATAAAAAAATTCATTATGACAAAGACAACAATTTAAAAAAACAAAACAAACTTGTGACCTTCCCACCTCAACTTCCTGAATAATTGGGATTTATAGGCATGTGCCACTGTGGCAGGCTGTATATGTCTTTTTTTTTTTTTTTTTAATATGCAGTTTTTAAAAGGGCGGGGGTTATGGCTCAGCAGTAGAGTGCTCGTCTAGCACATGCAAGGCACTGGGTTCGAGCCTTAGCACCACATAAAAATAAATAAACAAATAAAGGTTTAAAATATATATATTTAAATATTTATATATATTTTTAGTTGTAGTTGGACAATACCTTTATTTTCTTTCTTTATTTTTTCATATGGTGCCGAGGATTGAACCCAGTGCATCACACTAGGCGAGTATTCTACCACTGAGCCACAACCCCAGCCCCTAAATATATATATTTTTAAACTTTATTTTTCATGTGGTGCTAACCCAGTGCCTCACCCATGCTAGGCAAGCACCCAACCACTGAGCTACAGCCCCAGCCCCTGTACATGTCTTTTTATAGTTTACTCTAACTGGAATTTGTAAAGGTGCTTGAATTTCTTTTTTTGTGGGGGTGGGGAGGTAAGTACTGGGGATTGAACAAGGAGCACTTGACCTCTGAGCCACATCCCCAGCCCTATTTTTTTTTAAATTTTCTTAGTTGTCAATGGACTTTATTTCATGCACGGGTAAGGTACGTGAATTTTTAAGTTAACGTTTTTTTCATTTTAGAAAATTACCAGGGGCATGCGTGCGGCCCGAGTTACATCCTCAGCACCACATACAAAGATGTTGTGTCTGCCAAAAACTAAAAAATAAATATTAAAGATTCTCTCTC